GTGCCTAGCACGATCTGCATGCCGTCCTTGCTTGGCGGTCGCATCTGTGCGAGCGGTTTCAAGTGCTCGTTGCAGCCTGTGTCCTTGAGCATGTTCACCCCGGTAGCCTTCTGTTGCACGGCAAACCAAGCTGCTTGCCGGGATGTGCGAGCTCCACTCAGCATGGACTGAGCCCGTCGCACTGCAAGCACGTGTTGATCCTGATGCCAGCTGCTGGAATACTTGGATGAGCCGGTGAGCTGAGCATGCGAAAGCTGGCTTTCCCGAGCACGTGTGTCTACAGCCATCTGCCGAATGGCAGGCATCAGAGCCTCCGCCCTCTTCAAACATGCCATGTTCGTGGCCCGGCTGTCGCCATGCTGGAAGTCCGGATGATCCAGGAAGTCTTGCATCAGCAGCTGCAAGCTTGGCTCTGCTGGCAGAGGGCCCGAGGCTACCACGGCCTGATGTAGAAGGGCATCTAACCAACTCAAAGCCCAAAGCAAAACGACTCATCTTGGACCCTAGACTAAACCACTGAACCCGAAAGCCCAAACCTCCTCTGCAGGGGCCGACTCAGCAGCAGGACAGTCGCCCGAACCGCTCTCGGCAGGCACCAGCTGACTTTGACAGTCGCCCAAACCGCTTTCTGCAGGCACCACAGCAGCGGCCTCGGCCGACGGCGCCAGGCTCTCAGTGAGCTCCTGAACGGGGTCTATGGGTTTTCTGGGAGAGATACCTACAGCCTGATACGGGCTAGCACGGGAGAGCAGTAGAGGCCTGCAAAGCATGCTTGGTTTTTGCATGGTCTTCGGCGGCGATCAAGTCGATCAGCTTCTCGTCCTCGCACACGTCGCCCTCATCCTCCTGCATGTCCTCCAGGTACTCCTCGATGAAATCATCTTCATCGTCTTGGTTACGCGGTGCCCGCATGCGTCTGCCCTTTGACAGCATGCTTTGCCCCTCGTCCAGCCACCAGGAATCGAAGGAAGAGGAAATCTCTCCTGCAGTGGGGCCTTGCATGATCCAGCTTTGGAATGTGAAGACTGCACTCCAGCAC